CTATCTGTTGTGTACATATCATGGCAAACAATTGAAACTCGAAACCTGCCCATATACGAGTGCGTACATACATATATCAGTAAGTGCAATGAATATATGTATTTATCTTTTCTGGGATAATCCGTTATTTGTTTTACTTTAAGCGCTACGAAAGTTGTGTTTTGTCTCCAACAAAGCCTAGGAGGTGTATGCGCGCATACCTAATAATTTATAAATAAATTTAGTGGGCAGTGCGAAGGAAGACAATTACGATTCAATTCATATACATATCAAGGAATAACCACCAGCATACGAGATTTAGTACAGGGTCAAACAGAACAACTTTAACAATATTTATGCCAAGATACAGTGGGGTACAATGACATCAAACAGGTCATGATAGTATGTCGTAATTAAAAATTTGTAATTTTTAATCTTATGCACGAAAAATATTAATTTTACCATTCAACAAAATCTGGAAGAAATTTTTTGTATAATTTGTTGAAAATAAGGGAAAGCCTTATTGGCTTTCGAAGCGAGGGTGTGGAAGCCAAAATTTTCCGAAACTAAAGCTTTTGATTGAAAATTATCTTTGAAATAAAATTCCCTTGTAAACAGGGAAATATGACGATGAGCATTCTAAACCTCGTCTTGACCTTCACGAATAAAATTGTCTGCAATATTAATTTGAAGGAGGTCTACATTGAAACTCCGACATTGAATGTGGTCAATTGCTATCATCAACGAGACTATTTTTCAAGAAATTGTGGCCGGGTTTCTTTTCAGTACTTTTTGAATCAGTGTTATTTTTCTATACTAGTCGAGGCAATATTTTCTACTTAGAACTTCGTGTATCTTAGATACAAATATTAATTTATCGTAGTCTCCGAACGAAGACTCTAAACAAATGTATTCGCTAAAGTGTTTAACAAAACCAATGCCTTAGCTTCTCAACCAGGGCTTTGGCATCTTGAATACATTCTAGTGGTCGTTTTCGAATGCCGTGATTGAAAATATAATGTCTGACAACTACCAACTCCGAAACAGAATGTATGTATGTAGTCTTAGATATTGCAAACTACTGTTAGAATAGTTTTTTTTTAATGATGACGCTGAATTTTGTCTCTCAAGAACCAATGACTAATTTTCAGCGAAATCGACGAGAATATTCACACTATCCGATCTTAATTTAGAGATTTCTTTCCACTACGAAAAGATTTGTTCAAACTTCCTTCAAACGCAAGTTATGATTTGTTGTCATAGTCCCCTTCATCGAATGTTGTAGACATTTCTTACAGGTCTATTCTGCACGTTACCGAAGATTTTGTAACCGGAAAATGTTATTACCAAAACATGTTACCAGTTCTTGTCACCGCGAT